ATACGTTTACCGGTGTCAAATTGTGCACCGGTTTCAACAAAAAACGAAAAAATGTTGAGGCAAATGAGCTTAAAAAAATAGATTCAGGGCTGAGCAATGAGCACTAAGAATTAGGTGCAGCTTTGAAATTGTATCTGATTTTTGCCGCGTACCGATTTTTTTTTCTCGAATCCCAAAAACATCTCGAAACGGCTACAGTTTTGCCAACTGCTTCTGCTGGGCTAAGCTGGTAATCGTTTCAGGAGACAAAACGAAAACCAGGTTAATCACCAGTGCGATAAACTTGCATGATTATGCATGAGTGTATATACTAAAGGTACGTCATAAAAACATAGACACAAATGTTACCCGTACAAAGGCATAAACAAGCGTATACATAAAAGCGTGTACCATATATAACTTATTAATAACTGAAACCCGCTAATGGCGCTTCCCAAACATAACATATCAAGACTGCGCGGACAACGACCATTGCGCGCATCCCATGTTAGGGATGTTATTAGGATGCTCCGGCTATGCTAGCCTCCACTCTGCTTTTCCAAACACGAATTGAGATAAAATGCCGCAAGACGGAGGAAAAATGAGGAAGCGTGTGCGCTATTTTTGTTCTAATTATGATAGCGTAATTAATCAGCACAACCATGGGATAGATAAGAAATCTCGCGAAACGTCAAAAAGGTCTCCAAAGTTTCAAATCCTTCTGCGATGTTTCTGCCAGTTTTGCCGGCGGTTCTACCCGTTTCTTCCGGATCTTTTCTTGTTCAGAAGTTACTTCGCCGCTTGCTATCACTTCCAAATTCCGGCGATTTCGTTCCATTTGGCAATGTCTCCTGGAGTCCGCAACAGGAGTATGTACACCCAACAGAGCGACTGGATGAGGTACGGCGGATCTTGGTGTACAAGGCGATGGCATAACAGGAACAGGTGCTGCGCACGGTGTAATCGGAGTACCACAGGTTCCCGGGATGCAGGGAGCAAAAAACATACGTGGCGTCAGACACTGATATGGTAAATTTCGTACGGAGTAACTGGAGGCCGAATAAATAGTAGGAGCAGGAGGAAAATTTCCGGGTGCTGGAGAAACGGTCAGAAATTTTCCTGGAGGACACAGTGGCGGTGCTACTGCTGGCGGTAGTGGCTGAGAAGGTGCAGTAGAGGGAGGCGCACCATCCGGAGACCCCTTCATCTGATTCGACATTACAGCTTGGAGGTGCTGCACCAAACCATTGTGGAACTGCTGCATGTGAGGGAAAAGTTCACTGCAAGGTAAAGCACGCTGGAGATAAGCTAGACATGCTGTTGTAGCTACCGAGAAACCTTCCGCATAAGACTGCTGGTAGATCGCACCGTTATCTGAAACTGGCATCAACATTTGGCTGTATAAATAGCAATTATATTTTGCACAAACAAAAATGAACAATTTCCACTGAACGATTTTCGGAAATTACCTAGCTGTACAGTGAGCAGCTTTTCCGCCAAAACTTTTAGGTGCCGTTACGTGCGAACTACCCATCTGATGGCTGAATTTGAAATCCTTAAGTTGCATTTGACGAAAAACGTTCTCTTAAAATTCTAGCTTCCCGCCTTTTCCGGATCCCGAGTCAGCAATTTTTCCGCCAAAAATTTATCATCTCCCTACGCGAGAATCATACATGCCTGGGTGATGGATTTGAAATCTCTAACTTGAACAGGGGACACTGCCTCAAAATTTCGATTTTCTGGCTTTACTAACTCTTGAGTTAACAGTTCTCTTGCCAAAACTTTTACGTGCCGTACGTGTCAAACACGTGCCTGAAGGCTGACTTTGAAACCTTTCAGATGTCAATGAATGAAGAACATACTGAAATTCAATTCTCCAGTTTTTTTTGGTTGCCAACTTAGTGATTTCCCGCAAAACTTTCACGCGCTCGTACGCGTGACTAGGACGTGTGGAAAGGCTGTTGCCGCGCTCCTGAAGTGGTAATTGGCCAGGAAAACCAGTAGAAAAATTTCAGCGTTGAAGCTTCCTTGGTTGTCGAATTGAAATGCTCGGACAGACACAAACACACACACACACACACACACGGGTCTTCACATTATGCGTTTTTGCATTTGCATACATGCAAAAATGCATAAAAAATTCTAAAAGTTTACACCAAATAAATGCCGCGC